GCCGACGGAGTCAAAATGAAAGTTGTAGATATTATTTTTACCTACGCGTGGATATAAAGAATGTCAAAAACGGAGGTCGTATGTGAAAGTTACGGATTTTAGAAGTCGGAAGTGTGCTGTGCGAAAATGGGTGATGTGGCACAATCTTGGCCATTGCTTTCTCCCCAAGTCTTGCCACTAGATGGTGACATGTGGCACCAAGTTCAGCCATTTTCACCCTATAAATACCACCTCTCCCACCCTCATTTTCTTCACACATTTCCCATTCTTTCTTCTCTTTACTCTCTCTCTAGAACCTCTCTCTAGCCCCGAAATCCCTCGAAAAGCCTAGGGAACCTCCCTAGCACGAGGCAGAAGCCCCGGAGTGCTCGACGGCTCCGAGAAGAAGAGCTTTTTGGCTCAGAAACGCTGCTCCAAGCAAAGCCTGGTTTTCTATAAAACCCGCTGTAAGTGAGCTACGCCTACGCTATTTTTAATATAGTTTTTATTTAATTATATTAACGTTATTAAGAACATATAATAAATACTTGGGCTATTATTATGGGTTATATAGGTATTTTTTTAACGCTTATATAATAGTAATAATAGCTAGAGTATTAATTAGTCTCGGCGAATAATAGACTAAAATCTATTGGTGAGAATACTAGGTTTCGTCGAAGGAAATTATTTTAAAGTAAACGAAGCGCTGTCCGAGTACCGAGTCACCACCTTCTCAGGTGAGTGCATGGTCCCTTTCATCTTACACATAGATATGAAGTATTTTAATATAAATTACGTGCTATGAGTACATATTGTCTGAATACTTGCTGTCTATGCTGAGTGAAAAAATTTTATACATGTTTTAAATGATTTAAACTGTATACGTATTTTATATCTACAAAACGTGTTGGGAAAACATGGGTAGATGAAATAGTTGTTTTGTGATAACACGATGGGAGACATCAGTGTTTTCAGTGATCCAGTCATCTAGTGGAGTATAGATGACAACTATGGACGATACTAGACGGTCCAGTGGAACGATAGCAGTTTCGTAACATGTAGGTATTTTTGAACTAGGTGCTCATTAGGTATTTTTGAACTGAGTGTGTTCACTACGTATCTTTGAACTGAGTGTGTTCACTAGGTATTTTGAACTAAGTGTGTTCACTAGTTACTTTTGAACTAAGTGTTTACCAGATGTTTCGGACTACTTTGTTCACCAGATATATTCTATAAGCCTTGGTAATGATGGACTTCGTGTCGATTCCTTATGATGATCCTTAGGACTAAATAAACGAGGAATAGCTGATTCTTAGGGTAGATCCTTAAGATTAAAGAAGATAATGGGGATGGGTAATTGAGTTGATTGTTTGATTGTTTAAACATAATAATTATATTATTGTGGGTTGAAAACCCTATGTACTCACCAGGTTTCCCAACCTGACCCACTCAGTTTATTTATATCACAGGTGTTGATACGAAGTCACTTTACACTGAGAGATTTAAAGAGATGTAGATCACTAGTGTAAATAAATGTAAGTTCTGTTTATGCTTATGTTCCTGTATTGACGATGACATCCCAAACATTTTAAAATGAATAAAGTACGTTTCTTCGGAAATGTTTTAATAACGTATTTATCATGTTTTTCTGGGAACAAATTCCACAACATTTTTATTAAAAGAACTCTGATTTTTATAAAGCATAAACAAAAATCGGTCTTTTCTGGCCGTGAAAATGGGGATGTCACAAGTCACCTCCCTGTGGCCTGGCAGTGGCGATAGTTGTGGTGGCCGTAGCAGTGGTCACCTCAGTAACAACATCATATCGTTCATCAAAGGTCTCAATCAGTGTGGTCTTAATAGACCCAAACATATCAGGAATCGCCTCTCGAATGGTTGCGGCCCCTCCTCGTGAATAATCATGTGAATCTCATCATCACTAGTCCCACTGCTCCCGGGGTCGTGGCGTGTACCCACCATGATGTCTCTAAACATAACACAAAATCATCAAAGGCTCGCTTAAGCATACTCACACTCGATCACCCGTCCCTACTTGTTCCTTGGTACCTTAAGGATTCTTACTTGGGTTGCATACATATCTGGTGCTTTCAGTAGTACGAGCACAATACCACCTTCCACACCAACCTATAGTCACCCCAAGTCCTCCTCCTAGGTTCCCATTTTACAAGTACTCTAACTCTCATGAATAAAAGACTTCCCTCTCAGTAGATCTCACATATGCTCATCTAAGTATCTCTCTTAGATTATCTCAAGACTTAAAACTCTATCTCTAAGTGATCTTGCTAGATACTCTTACTCAGCACATACTCAAAGCACATAACAAATAGCAACGACTCCTAGGCTAAGGCATCACAAATAAGGAAACTTTAGCCCTAAGTATGAATTACTTATCCTATCCTCTAGCATGCATCACTATTATCTCATAAATATCTCATAACATAAATAAGTAAGGGTATCTTGGGAAATCGCCAATCTGGCTCTCGCTGATTGTCTCAAGTGTCAACACAATCCACATAAAATGTCACTATCCCATAATGATCCACATAATCTCGCATCGATGTGTACAATCAAGCCGGTGCCTTCCTGTGATCCTGAGAGGTACCTTTAAAACATATCACATAACATGGTAAGCACGAAGCTTAGTGAGTTCCCTAAAATACCACACATATCTCATTAGCCTCTCATGGCTATGATCAAATAAGACCCTTCGGTCAATGTGTCTTAGTGGGACCCTCCAGTCCTACAACTCGGGTGGACCCTCTGGTCCTAACTCGGTAAGCTCAAAATAATACACATCACAAATCACAAAGACATAATGCAGGATATCACAATACTCAATATAACACATAAGATCCTCCGGTCACACAAAGATTACCACTCTAGGTAAAGTATAGTGAGAAGACTCACCTCGTAAGCAAGCAAGTAATAATCTCGTACACGAATATCAAACTAGCCTCCGCCTAACACATAAGATAATAATCTCTAATTAACACTTAAATCACAACTCGAAATAACTAGGATATTCTCTCTCTCAAACTATTGAAATGGGTAAAAGACCATTTTACCTCCCCATGGTTCCCATACTCCCTGCCTTGACGAAACCCTAAAGTCAACAGAAGTCAACACTCGAGTCAACTGTCCATGTTGACCTGACTCACCGAATGCATCTATGTTACTCGCCGAGTACCCCGTATTCCTTCAAAATATCATGAAAACCCAACTCAACTCGTCGAGTTATCACGCCAACTCACCGAGTTACCCATGTCCAGACTTATCAGGGAAAACCCTACCCGACTCGCCGAGTCAGCTCTTTGACCCGTCGAGTCCATTAAATCCAATTCTCATCTAGATGTTTTAAGGCAGATCTACCACTCCAAACTCTAGATCTAGCCTCCCAAGGGTAGAATGTCATGTAAAGCTTCGATCTTTACGTTCATGCATGACATATTTGCTTCATAATGCCAATAAAAGCTCTTACTAAGGTGTTTAAGCACAATAACTCTTTTATGGCTGGATAAAGCTAGGACCTTTGGACTCTATGGACCTCTCATGGTCCAGATCTGATGTCTATGCTTGGCAAGCACAAGTCATACCACGTCTCAAGGAAATATGGAAAAAGCCCCAAAAGTTCCTCATTAACAAGATCTACACAACATGATGAGCAAGGTGATGACTTTTACCTTCCAACAGAAGCTCCAAGTGAATGAATACTAGATCTCACAGCCTTTCCTCGTTCCTTGCTGGAATCTCACTTATTCTCTTCCAATGATTCACCAAAACACTCAAATATTAGCTGTATCACTCTCTTTTCGCTCAATTGTAAGCCACACCATCTGTGATGATGAGGTAGAACGGGCGACGAGAGCCAAAGCTTGCTCCGACTGTGTGGATTTCAACCAAAGAAGAACGTAGCGATCTCGTTTTGATTGGGTTCAGTTGAAGCAAGATCAGTTTTCGTGACCGGAACAACACAAGTTTCTGGTGGAGGATTAGGGTTGAGAATATGTGTTTCAAGATCAAACGTTTCTAGGGCTGACACAATATTTGTCTTCCATAAGGAGTAGTTTTCTTTGTCAAGTTTTATACTTACAGATGGTATTTGAAAATTAGGGAGAGAGTTGAAGTGTGCTAATGACAGTATTCATGCCATTGACGTGAATTTGTGAAGGGGAAAAAGAAGGGCTAGAGCCAGTGGCGGAGCCAGGACCAAAATAAAGGGGTATCCCAATTTTTTTTAGGGTAATCTAATTTTTTTTCCCGGGACTTGGGTTTCCCGGGTTTGTTTTTGGTTTTAAACCCAAATCTTAATTGAATCCTTAGCTAACCTCAAGTCTTGTTATATAAACATGAAGTTGAAGTATATTGATACTTGAATCGATGTGGGACTCAAAGTAGATATCAAATAAAGCATGAGCATAAAATGTTTATATAATAGAAAAAAATGGCTGAGTTTACATGTGTTTAGTGATGTGGGATAGAATAGTTGGGAAAATAAAACAAAAATAAACAAAGAATATGTAAAAAGCAAGAATAGAACTCGAGACCTTTGCTTGAATAAGCCAACACCTTAACCAACAGATCAATTGTAACGCATATATATACATTATACCGAATTTTTTTAAACAAAAATTACACTACCGAAAAAAATTTGAAGGGTATCCCGGGCTACCCCGGGATCCCCTTGGATCCACCCCTGGCTAGAGCTCTAATACCATAAAAGGGTATTGATTTATTTTTTGTTCCTAAAAACAGGAAGGGTCGACAGTGAATCCAGATGCCTTCCAGCAGCAAATCCAAAATAATTCAGAGATGATGGCCCAATTGTTTCAGGTGGTTGGTTATAACTTATATAATAATTCTCAAATATTTGTATAAGAGTTTTGTGACCTTTAAAAAAAAAAAAAAAAAAACAGAACGATCCTGAGTTGTCCCAAATCATTCCTGGAAACGACCTAAATAAGTTACAGGGCCTCTTAAGAAAGCGTCACCATTAGATATCTCGCCAACAACAAGAAGAGATGGTAAGATGCCCACTTACATCATATATATTATCCATTTATATTTTATACAACCAAAAAAAAGAAATTTTTTTTGTCATCTTCTGTTTTGTCCTACACATATACAAGGCACTACTTTATGCAGACCCTTTTGATGTGGAAGCACAAAAGAAAATTGAAGCTGCAATCTGGCAGGTATATATATATATATATATATATATATATATATATATATATATATATATATATATATATATATATATATATATATATATATATATATATATATATATATAAAAGTTAGATGATTTTATAGAAAGGCGTGCATTGACGAGAAGTGGGCTGCTGAACTAGAACCCTGAAGCTTTTGCAAGAGTGGTAAGTAAGTATTCAAATTCACAGTTAGAATTCAAAAAAACATGTATGTTTGAGAATCAAACTTTCAGGTCATGCTTTATGTGGACATTCAGTTTCTTATTAAACTGAACATGCATTTGTATTCACTCTCAAGCGGCTTGATTCAGGCCTTTGTGGATGGATGGTGGGGCCCAATCAATCATAGTATCAAAAGAGTGTGCTGAGCGTTTGGGGTATGTGGCCTTTGTTCTGATTAAATACATATTAATGTAAAAAGAATATAACTGAAAAGTTTTAGATTGCTGAGGCTTTTGGATGAGCGATATAAGGGCATTGCTCATGGAGTTGGATTCTCCAAATATGGAATTCCTTTTTGAATTAGATATGCTTTGTAAGCACCAGGTAACATAAGAGTTGCTTTTTAGATTAACGAATAATTATATCCATATTCTCATAATAATTAAGTGGGCACATGCAGTGCATCACTGATTTGAAAGATAATGTGTTGAGAGTTGGGGGAGGAGTGGTTGCTGTGAATCTTAATCATATTTACATGTATGTAATATGTAATGTATTCACAAGTTTTGTTGTATTTGTTGTAAACTATAACAATAACAGAAAGGGACATCCCACGTCATTTCCTAGAAGAAGAGAAGCAACTAGAGGAAGCTTCTACCCAACTCCATAAAAATCTTTTTTCCTTGTAAATTTCAGGGTTCAGTAGAGAGGAGTAACAATCACCCCAACACCATCTGCATCGGGGGTTGGTCAATCTTCAGGTTAGTAAAGGCCTAGCCTTGTCAACCACTAAGGTCACTTAATTATTTAACTTATGGGTGCCTTGTTTTAAAAGCAATGAACTGAGCTCAAGTGAGTATAAATCAAAGATTTTGTAATTAACACTGCTGTTTTGGGCATCCTGCCCTTGGACATGTGAGTCTAATATTTATATACAGTTTTTAGAAGCATCATAATAGCATATGATGTGAAGTATATGGTGTGTGTTTGTGTGAGTGTGATTTCAGGGAGGTGACTTTGAAGCCAAAATTGAGAAGCTGGTTGAGCTAGGGTTTAGTAGGGAGGCACTTATACAAGCTTTAAAGTATTTTGATGGCAATGCAGAACAAGCAGATCAATGTGTAACATCATCGTAACATTATCTTTATGGATCGTTTTTGCAACTTGCATGATTAAAGTTGTTGCTTTTGTTATTTTTTTTGCTATGATTACTAAACCAGACATGACTTTCAACAAAAAAAAAAAAAAAAACAAAACAAAAAGAGGAAACCAATTCATCCCAATGTCCAAGCTGGGGTTACTAGTCAAATCAGTTCACATCCAATGTTTTTGGACATAAATCACAATGTATCTTTGATATTTGTTATCCAATTACAACCAATTATTAATATGCATTGAAAGCAAGACATGGCATATAAGGCTCTCAAGAACATAAGTGTCTGATTTCAGTCTACAACATGCAAACCAACCAACAGCTGTATCTGGAATTTTAATGTGTGTGAATATGGTACAGCACAAAGCATACAGCTACAGGTTTTATAGCAGGTGCAAAAGAACAAGAGATTTCAACAATTTTTTCCATATGATAAAGATAAAATTATAACCATAAAGTTAAAGCTGAGAATTCAATAAATCGATGACAATTTAAATTTGCTTACAAACCACCCAAAACTGAAAAGGATGCATGATCCTATCTTGTTATATATGTATCAAAAAGAAACATACAGATAGATGGATAGATGAGATGGAAGTTGGAAGTCAAAACCTCTCAGCTAATCTTGCAGTAACAGCTCTAAGTTTTGAATATACTTTCCCTGCAGGGGATCCTAAGATAAGGCTGCACAAAGAGTCTCTAGCAACTTTGATGTTGGCAAAGGATCCCAATATGTGAATCTTTGTGTCTGCAATAACAATCCGAGTCTTTGTTGAATTCTCAATTGCAAATTTGGTTTTACCTCCTTTACCAGACAGCCTTCCAATGGCACGAGACAGATGCTCTCCTTTAAGGGTCTTAACATCTTTAATCTCAAAGGAATCAACATAAAGCTCATCCATTCGCAGCAATGCAACTGCATCTATCACATCAAAACCAAGCATGAAAGCATGCACAAAGTCTGCACACTTTTGAAGGTTACTAACATCTGGGGTGTCACGCCTCGTCATCAATTCAACATTTCGTGTCTTCACATTCATTCGGATGTCAACCTTCATCTGCTCATACACTGGACTGTATATGTCCATCCATGCTTTCTTCAGTGGGGTATACCTGTGTTTTGGAACAGATATTTTCCGGAACTGAACTTGCCCATCCGATATCTCATGAGCTGTCAAAGCCTTAAACTTGGGCTTTGCTACAACCTTACTTTCACTTTCTTCTACTTCCATGGAACTTGTCCCTTTGTCCGTTTGCATCCTGCACCACCTATAAACCAATACCAGACACCAGATACAAGTAAACAAACTATCAATTTTCATTCCAAACCCTAAAAACTCATGAGCATACACGTTTATGTTTCAAATAAAATCGACTGAGCACATAATAACACATACTTGGAATCGGATTTATGGTTTCTGGTAGATTCATACTATCAAATATATAACGAGCGAACCAGAAATACTTACGGGATTTAATGCGATCGACGAGAGTTAGAGAATTATGCGGCAGGGGGTTCAGCAGCTGTGAAAAGGTTGAGGGTTTTGGGAGTTGAAAACAGACGAATTCTTTGAGGGTTTCTGGTATTAGGTTATTACTTATGTCTATATAATGGGCTCTTTTAAAGCCCAGTCAACTTGAAAGCTTAATGGGTTGTGTGTTTCGGTTTGTGTTTGTTACTTCAATCTTGTTTTTACTAAAATCTTTTATCTTTAAAAAATACATTCTCGTAAGTCGTAAATCGATGATTTAAACCAGAAAATCATATCCAAACGAATCAAATGTTTTCATTCTGCGCGTTATAAAAAGATTTCAAAACCAAATGAAGATGGTTATCTCGGTTCTGTAAGAAACTCAATCATAAGTTTATGTGTGGATTGTCGAGGAAAACTTCGGAATGATAATCTACCCTAATAAATGAAAATGACTTTGCCACATGTTATTCTTTTATAATTTATTAGTCACATGTCATTTTGTCATAATTTGAGATATATCTATTTTCCATTTGTCATTATTTTAATTTTAATTTTCAATATACCATTAATTTGGTTTCCATAAATTAAACCTACCATTAATTTTAAATTTTAAATTTTAAATTTCAAATAAATTTACGGTTTAAACTTTTATGTTTAACATTTTGTTATAATTAACCCGTGTACTACACAATAAATACATAATTTTTATTTCTTTATTTTTTGCATGTTTTTTTCTCATAATTTTCACTTATGTCAATTTCAAATTCAAATAAATTTCTATTTAATCGTTCGTACTTAACATTTTGTTTTAATCAACCCGTATAATATACGGGTCTCACAACTAGTTGTTTATATAAAACTAATCAACAGTAGTTAAAGTCTTGAACTATATTAAAATTAAAGTAGTATATTGAAGTTTATTTTGGAAAGGGAAGTGATTCGTACACAACATTTTTTTATCATACACAACAATTTATGCATTATAGAGTTGTACAATACAACACTTTAAAACATAAATTATTGTGTACGGAAAAAAAAAGTGTTGTGTAGGAATCAGTTCCCTTTTGGAAATACAATCTAGAGTGATTAATTAAAGATCATGTGCGAAGGTTTAAAAAAAAACATTTTAATTTTTTTTTAAAATTTATAACTACAATTCATTAATACTACGATAATTGTTATACCAATAATACTTAAGAAAACATAAATTAAAGTCGAAAATTACTTGTAATTGATATTGAAACTTTGCATTAATTGTATGATTTTTCGTTTTATATATATATATATATATATATATATATATATATATATATATATATATATATATATATATATATATATATATATAGAGAGAGAGAGAGAGAGAGAGAGAGGTAAATGTTCAAATAAGAACAAAAAAAAGGTTAAGAACCGTAAGAACTTCTAATTTTAGATGTTTATAAAGGGTTTAGGGTTTAGGGTTTAGGGGTTAGGGTTAAGGGTTTAGGGTTAAGGGTTTAGGGTTTAGGGTTTAGGGCGTTTATAAAGGGTTTAGTGTTTAGGGTTTAGGGTTTAAGGTTTAGGGTTTATGGTTTATGGTTACCCTAAACCCTTTATAAACATTTAAAGTTAGAGGTTCTTACGGTTTTTAATCTTTTTTGGTTCTCATTTGAACCACTCCCTATATATATATATATATATATATATATATATATATATATATATATATATATATATATATATATATATATATGTATATATATATATATATATATGGAAATGATCAAATGAGAACACCTAAAAGATTGATGCGAGAACACTTCTGGACCAATCATTTTACAAGGGTATATTAGTAATTGCGTGTTTAATATAAATTATAACAAATCTTAATCTCCTATATTTTAGCAATATTAAATACAGTTACTTAAAATAATGGTTTAACCGATTTTTTTTAATATAGGACAAAAATAATTTTTATTAATTTTTTGTTAAAAAAGTTATTTTTTTATAAATTTATCATTCATCAGATATTATATGTATAAAGATTGAAAAAAACATTTTTTTTCTTTTGCATTCATAAATGAACGAGAAAATACATTAAATTAATTTTTTTAAAGAATTTTAATTGATTTGATTATGTTAATCATGAAGGATTATATGTAACAATAAAAGATGGAATGAGTAAAGCATCATAAAAAGAAAATAACTAAAAATAAAAACTCAATTCAATCGTAATCATAAACGTATAAAGTACATTTACCAATTCAAAAAACCAATACATTTGGAATCAATAATGAATAAAGGAAAATGTAAAGATTAAAAAAAATCTAGTTTAGTTGTAATCACAAATGACTGAAGAAGATAAAAAATCCAGTTTGCTACGATTTTTGTTGTTGCTACCAGCACACACAAAAACAAAGAAGGATTATTGTTATTCTCGGGTTCACACCTGCAAAATCATGTTCAAGGATAAATAAGAAAAAAAATCAGATAATAACGTTATGGATCTTCACTGATTCACAAACGAATATATATATTTGTCTTTTGATGGTAGAGAAAGGAAAACACAAACCTTATATCTTTCATTTTTGGTGTAATCATATATATAAAAGTGCAATATTTTACTAATAAACTTTTCAATTGACCGGTATTTCCCAAAAAAAAATAACTATGAAAATAACTTTTTTAGTTTTTACCATATACCTTATAATGAATAAAGATTTATTCATGTATGATGATAACTAAAATCATGTATGATGATAACTATAATCATGTATTGAGACTGATGAATAAATTGAATAGAGTTGCAAATCATAAATGATTAACATTGATGAAATAAAATCTTTAAGTTTTTATCTCCATTTCATAATCATTAATGAATTTTAACATATTTATAATTGAATAGGATTGAAAATAATATAAACTCTACCTTAATGACGGTTTCTGTTTTCTCTTTCTTTTTAAGCAGTTGCAAAGTTTCCTGCTTTAGAACCTTCAAAAGCTCATCTTCTTCCTTCTTAGCATTTCCAACTTCCTCTTCTTTAATCTGCTTGTAGACGTCCATTTCTTGAGTATATTGCTTGTTCTTCTTCTTTGCCACTTTTTTATAACCTGCTTTTTGCTTGTCTGTCATGTTCTTCCATTCTTCTTCACATATTTTAGCAATCTACCACCACCAAGTTTATGAACCAAACTCATTAATTAGTTCATTATAAAAGAACACACATTTTATACTAAATAGATTTTCAAACTCAAATTACCTCCACCATACTCTTGCTTTCTGCAATAAGAGCAGCTCTCTTCTTTTTCATAAACAAGAAATACGCAGACTCTGGTCACTTTGGCTTCAATGGATCTTTCTCCTTCCTGTACGCAGAAAATAAATCCATAAACCATAGTAATCTTCAAGAACTCGATTCTTGGAAACGGGTTACCAAAAATTTTGATTTTTTCTTTAAATCTTGAAAAGGGTATCAAAGAACTTGATTTTTTTGTTCAAATATTGTAAAGGGCATCACGAGACTTGAATAAGTAGATAATTACTTGTTCTTTTTGTAATTTCCCTCTTTTTCTGCTTCTTGTTTAAACTGCATGTATTGTTCAAGCAACTCCATAGTTGTCTTCTAATTCTGTTCTTCTTCCAAAAGCTTCATAGCTTCACTTTCTCTTTTTTCATTATCTATAATTTTTGAATAAGTAGCCTTCTCAATCGGATACTTCTCTTCGTACAGCTTCTTATCTTCGGGGGTGAGTGCCTTCCATTTCGTCCCCAAAATGTTTGCGACTTCACTGAACTCTGCTTCTGGATTCTCTTTCTTGACCTGTAAAAATCATAAAAACCCCCATGATGTTATCAATTTAGCTAAGCTTAGATGTTTTACCAACAAAATATAAGATAAAGTTAAAGAAAAAGGATTGATTCTTGCCTCGGTCCAATGATCGTTACATAATCTTCATATTTCACAAAAGATCCAACACTTCAATCGCAAATCTGAAAAAAAAAAAATCGAAAAATAGGGTTGCATTTTTTTTCTTTGCCTCTGTTCTTTAGTTTTTTTTTCTACAAAAACCCTCTGTTCTTCAGTTCTTACACCCACCTTTAGGATACAAAAATCGTTGTTCCTCGATCCTTTTTATATCAATTTTAGGAGAAAGAAACATCCTAGCCCTGTGATCGAATGAGCGTAAAAACACACATAACCATCCCATGTTCATCATCTTTCTCCTTGACATGTATGAAGAATAGTAGAAAATATCGTATTTATCTCTCGATTTTTAAGAGCTCTTGGGAGATCATAACTATACACACAACGGCGGCTGGAATGAGAGGATGTCGTAGGGTTTTGTAAAATGCAGAAGAAGGGGGTAAAGAGAGAGAGAGATAAAGAGGGAAAGATAGAGAAAGAGAGATCATAGGAGTTGCTAAACATAGGTTAACAATCAATTACCATTATACCCTTATGACAATTTTAAAGTAACACTTGAATTCCTATAATTTTAAGAATTTACATAAATGACCCAATCGATAATTGCCTTAGATTTAGTTTTTTAAATGGTTCAGATCTTTTCTCGCATTCTCAACCTTTTAGGAGTTCTCATTTGATCCTACTCATATATATATATATATATATATATATATATATATATATATATATATATATATATATATATATATATAAACAATTGGACCCTTGATGACTTTAGGTTTGTGTGACCGCTCATCTAGCACACCCCTTCAGGCCATCCTTTTTGTACCTAATTGGTAAGAGTAACGTTCTTTGTTTCAAGATGAGTTTACAAAGTTTTCTAGGGAGAGAAAGCTGTATCTGGTAGCTGAAACTTTTGATGGTGAGACAAAACTCTCTTTGGTGGCGGAAAAGTTTTGCTAGTGAGAGAAAGTTCTGATGTAACATAATACTTTAGTTGTTGCAGAAAACATTGTCAGGAAGGAGGAAGTTGTTGTGTGACGTTTTATGATTGGGTGATAATTAAAACATCTCTTTTATGTTATAATTATGGATGAGCATGACCCATCAGAATTAAGGTTTCTCATGATTGTTTATATATAAACACACTTCTCCATACATATTCTTACATAAAAATTTCAAAAGAGCAAATCATTAGGACATTGAGAGTACATCATTTGGAGTAGCTTATGAGAAATAGATTTTCTTTTGTTTGAGAGTTCAACTTAACTTTTGTAAGTGACTATAATTTGTTTTGGAAGTTTAATAAAATCATCTCTCTCTCTCTCTCTCTCTCTCTCTCTCTCTCTCTCTCTCTCTCTCTCTCGTCCGTGGACGTAGATCACTTTGACCGAACCACATTAAATATTGTGTACAATTTTTTATTTTAGTTTTCAGAAGTTTTACCAAAGTTCTCTTATTATTTTGTCTGAAGTACTTAACTTGTTTGTTAAATTTCCAACAAAATGGAATCAGAGCTCTTCTCTGAGCATTGACAAGTGATATCTCATTACCAACACCCAACTTGTTGAATTAAATGAATTTGATATTTTCAACCACGTTGATATTGATCGTTATTAGTGTCATTTGTCAAGTAATTGATTTCCAGATAAAATGTTAAAAAGATAATAACTCTTTCTAAAATTTCCCTTTATATAAGCTAATTTGATCCCAAGGTAATGCTTCTTTAGGAGTTAAGGGTAGAGCCCCTTATGCTGGTTATTTGTTTTAACAATAAAAGATTAAGAAAAACCAACTAGCAGGGAGCTAGAAAAATAAATTACAAAGGAATGGGCATCATTGGGTTTTGTAACCACAAAGTACAAATTATAGAGCGTTTTTTAATCCTATATGTATACCACTTAAACGACTGGTGAACAATTCTCCCCAAAATAACATTCTTCTCATTCTTGTGACTAAGACTCAAAGTGTCACCTCTTCAATTACCATTTAAAATTTGGATTGTCATGTGTCAAATTTTATGAATTATGATACCCAAACATATGATAAATATACAAATTATGGGAAGTCAACTGACAGTATCCAGTTTTTAATTATCACACACACTTTTTTCTGTCCAACGTCTAACAAAAATTTCGTAATTATACGGTTTTTAGCTAATGGAAGTTAAGGCTCCTGTGACAAAACAACAAAAATAAACCATAAAGCGAAGCTTAGAAGCAACTGCAAACAAGCGAACAACACAAAGATTCATGGAATGTAACACATAGGATCAAGAATGATGAAACAACATTGATCATCATGTCCTAATGTAAGCACGTCAGATAGATGCATCGAAGTTCAAAGTTGGTAATTAATACAAACTTATAAACATAACAAGCTGCTCAGCGTGGTTCCTTTATATTTGCTTGGAAAAAGAACACACACACACAAAAAACAAATGATTTGCATTTTAATCCAAACAAACAAAGCACAGGTGGTAATGCATGAATCAGTAGATAAACAAATTAATAATGGATCGGAGTTTCAGAAACCTTTCCAGACAGAAAGAATTTCATTTACAACTTCAGCTATGAGTTCCCTATCAGCATATTGTATAAATGCATTGAATTCGTCTATAATGTCAAAAATCTTACCAAACTTGACAAGATACTCAAGGCATCCGAGCTTGAGCATTGGCAAACGATAAAGAGAAGCGCTCTGAAGCCTCTCAAGAACGTTGTTGGCGTAAATATCCTGTAACAGGCTTTCTTGGCATGCATCTTTGAGATCTGAAACATCATACTTGTCAGCAGCTCTGAGAAGATGGAGTCTGTGAGTGAGAAAATCTTGGTAATGTATGTTAGCGTATATATAGCTGAGAAAAGCTTGGCAAGCTTGAATGGACATGTCAGAGATGTTTATGGCAGACATCTCTTTCTCTTTCAGGTCGTGGGAGAACATGCTTCGAAAGACCGGTGAACGGGCTGCAAGAACCGCCCTGTGGGCCCCAATGCTTCCATCCGAAGCACGGATGATGATATCTGTGTGGATACTTTCTGATAACATTCGCCCAAGAGAAACAGAGGAAACTTCTCTTTTGTTCTGTTTCTGTGGGTGTGGGAAGCCTTCACTCACACTCCAGATCGAACATACTTCCTCGCCTCCCTGTTTGTTTGTTACATAAACGTATATAAAATGTCAGCTATTCTACCAATTGGAAGTAGTTAGTTTTCACTTTTCATATCGTACAGACTTTGAGTGAAGTAGTTTTACCGACAACTAACCTAGCTATATGATGATGATGATGATGATGGTGATGATGATGATGATGATGATTATTTTAGTCTAAACTTGACCTTATAATTAAGTTATACCACCAATTAATTAATAGGTGAATTTAGCTAACTACGGCTACAAGATGATTTTAAGAAACAGTAAACTAGATTAATAGTATATTGAAAAAAGAAAGATGAATGAAGTTTTACATCTGGAGATGCAGTCTTGAGATCAAGAAACTCAACATCAATGATGAATCTCCCGGTCAATGGAACCTCAAGCACCCAAATAAAATCCTCATCACTTTTCAGCGGCTTATCCCTAACTTCTGCATACATAAAATAATAAAAATAAAGATCATGATATTCATGTGGATCTTTACTTTAAATATCATTATTATTAATTATCAAATAAAGTGCGTAAATAGTAAACTTACCTGGATGAACCAAAGTCTTGCGGCCTCCCAAAAAGGATATTATACGAATGTCGAAGGAAGCAACCGGATGACCGTCTCCAGCTAACTTTGGTATCTCTGGGAAGAGTTTAATCAACCATATTTTTCGATTCTTTTCCACAACTAAATGCCTTTCATTTTACAAAGTTGCAATAAACAAGAATCATTAACATCTTTCCAAATATTAAAACTGCATTTATGATTCCCTGGCTGCATTTGCTTTTTTTTTTTTTTTTAACCATTATATTTGAAACAAGAAAACCACCACCACGCAAGAAGCTAGGAGGGGCGAAAAAACCGAAAAGGAGTTACAAAGCCTGAGAGATAGTTACAAACAAACAAATGGATTAACACACCAGTCAACCCATTTAAAACAACATTTTGACCTCCTGTGTTTCACCCATGTGTATACTATGGATTTGATGCTCTCAGCCACGTGAAATCCGAGATTTTTTAAAAACCCAGTCCCTTATTGTAAAATGGTGGTGTTGATTGAGAGCTAAGGGAGAGGAGCTGTGGAGTCGGATAATAAGGGGAATACACAACTTAAAGAACAAACCAGATGATGTTCTTTCCACCGAATTGGTAGATACTTCTTGGAACAGCGGAATGCATTCTTAAACTTTCAATACTCTGTTTTGTTTGCTAATTAAAGATTGCTTATTCATAACAA